GCATGGCGCAGCGCACCGCATCGCGCACCGCACACACACACACACACACACACACACACACACGCCGAAAAGAGGCATGACTCAAAAAAAAAAAGAAAAAAAAAGAGGCATGCGCACAGTGCGCACCTCGTAGGGGTAGCGCGTCCCCATGCGCTGCGCGCACGGCGCACCTCGTGCGCACGTTCGCGCACATGCACGCGCAGTGTCACCGCGCGCAGTCCGCATGGCGCAGCGCACCGCATCGCGCACCGCACAAATGCGCTGCAAGTATGAAACAAACTGTTTTCTATGCCACTTCAGAAAAGAACTTTCTGATTTTCCTCCACTTCTGGTTTCCACAGTAACCGGGCAGCCGCCTTGATAGCCTTGTAGACCTTGTCCCCTAATAGATGGGTAGAAAGAACAAACCATAGCACCGCAAAACCTGTTGCTTGGGTTACTACCTCTTCCCCCAAACACAATGCACCCTCATTTTGGCTGTATCTGGCTGGAAATATAGCTTGTATACATTCATTTTTAGGGTGCGTTATGTTCGGGGGAAGACGGTAGCGCCCTTCCCAACAGGGACAAATGACCTTTGTGGCTCCAGTTTAACAACCTGGTCACAAAATTTTCCACCAACATCGAGTCTTAAAACTCTGCGTGTTAGATAATGCCACTTGCACTCCTAAGAATCGTCCTGACGAATCAGCCGGTACTTGTTTCAGTCCCCAGTTAACCTCCAAATCATCATCTTTAGGTAAGAAATAAATAGATTTATTCCAGTTGATCAAGGCCTCTGACAGTTCGTAGTATGTATTTTAAACCCTCCTCAACTGTTGACGCACACAATTGTTAAGTCGTTAGCCAAAGCTCCACCTTTCCATTGAATCTGGTTGTGAAGTCCTACAATCTGATCTCTATGTCCAATATTGTCTAGTAGAACTTCCATGTGAACAACAAAAAGTAAGGGGCTAAACGGCGACCATGTCTTAAGAGATCGGGACAACGAAAATTGTTGAGACTTGTACCCATTCACCATTACTGAAGCGGTTGCCGTCTACTACATTGTGGCTACCCAGTGGGCAAAAATCTCCCCAAAGCCCATATGTTTCATTGTTGTCATTACGAAGGCCCAACCTACTCTATCGTAGGCCTTCTCCATATCCATGAGAAGGACTGCGACGTTTTGGTTCTCTGTTGCGATAACTTCTAGAGGTTGTATTGTGGCGGCAATGTTGTCCATAATGGATCTGTGCTTCACAAAAGATCCCTGTTCTTTCTTAATTAGATCAGGTAGATATCTGGATCCGTGTAGCATCGCGTTCGGGTTCGGTGACCGTTTGCGACCGAATGCGAACGAGCGTCAAAACCCTCTGAGCACGAACATTAAAAAAATAAAATAAATAAAACCTTCTTAGAAAAATCCTAGGAAGATTCTCACGCCCGGCCGGGCACCCGGGCGTGACGCCCGGGGTACCCGGGCGCGCAAAAAAAAAAAAAAAAAAATTTTTTTTTTTTTTTTTTTTTTTTTTTTTTTTTTTTTTTCTGTGTGTGTGTGTGTGTGTGTGTGTGTGTGAGAGAGAGAGAGAGAGAGAGAGAGAGAGAGAGAGAGATCTGACACAACTATCGGCCACAGAAAGAAAAAAGAAAGGGAAAAAGAAAAAAAGTGGAAATACCGTCCAATCAGGAAAGATTTTTTTTTTTTTTTTTTTCCTTCTTGTTTTTGAAAGGGCAACGGCCTTGATATATTATTAGCTTTTTCTTTTTCTTTCTTTTTACACGTGTCATCCTTGCGCAGGGGCCATGCTAATCTTCTCTGTATCGTTCCAATTTTAACGGATGTCCCTAAGGACTTGATATATTATTATCGAGCTGACCGGCCCCAGAATTACCTGGCTCGAACTCCACTGAGAGTATTTTTTTAGTCATCTCCTCTCAGTGGAGTTTGAACTCAGGTCTGTATTTCAGCAGTTCAGGGGTGTACCAACTGAGCTAGGCCAGCTGGTGGAACGAGGTATTAAGATGATAATATCATATTATTTATTATTGATCTTTTTCCCCATATGTTCTTTTCCGCAAAGAAAAATTGACAGTTCTTTTTTTTTTTTTTTTTTTTT